TGTACACACACACACACACACACACATACACACAAACATATATATACATATATATATATACATATATATATAAATTTATGTATGTATGTCTGTATGCATATATGCATGTGCGTGTATGTGGTTACTTACATCTTACCACCTCTATCTCGGCATACTACGAAGGTGCGAACTCCTTGCCACTTCCCCAACCCCTGTCCATCAAGGTGCCGGTGTTAGAGTCAGAGTCGTGCATACTTAATCGGTCGAATTTGTGGGCGTTGGCTCTGGTGCTACCTGCGGTATATCTCAGCGATAAAAGGATTGAGATGTCAGCACGACAACGTGCCCAAGCTCAGGTACGTATATGGCGTAGCATGTGTGTATGTGGTACACGAAGGGTGTGGTCAATGTGCTCTATTTAGACGCAAACATGCGCGTGTGGTCTGGCATAGAAGTATAGAACATTGCATTAGGCTGCCTCTTTCTAAGCTCTAAGCATACGTTAGTGACAGGCGAGTTGAGTTCTCGGCCAGACGACGTGTTCATTCTCCGGTGATGCTCAGGTTGCTGTGTGGCACCCCATGTGTGTATGTGGTAGAAGTGTGTGATCTGTGTCATGTACTAGACAGACGTTGTTTTGTTTACCCTGGCGCGTGTATCGTATCTCTGTGCTCGATTGCTCCCCTGTGAACTACCGCAACGGTATGCGGATTGAGATGTCAGCACACGCCAACGTGCCCCAGTTAAGTTGCGTGTACTGTGTACTGTATGACTGGGGTGATCACAGTGCGGTGTATGTGGTGTGTACGGGATGCAGTCGGGTGTATCCGTTTGTAATACCTGAGCATACTATTCGCAACTACAGGCATCAGGTACTCGTGATACTACCGCTGACGATGCGTCGGAGGCACATCTGCACATGTGGGAGAAACTGTACGACAGCACCAGCGACGGGATATCCTACACAGGACTCAAGACTAAACTGGGTGGGTACAATGGTCCCACTGTTGTTGCGTCTCTCACAGACAAAGGGGTAGGTACATTGTATTGTATGTATATATTAGGAGAAGTGTCGTAGGAATAGACTGGTTTGTGTTTGCAGAAGTAAGCATTGTAGCTATATTTACGTATCGTTGTATGTATAGTATTTATGTACATCACATGAAACTCATCAGGTATTTATAAACTTTTGGTGCTACTGCAATTATCTGGCAATCTGATATGCAATTATATGTAGGAGATGCTAGGAACAAGCGCCGATGCCATGCGTACATATTTACACACACACACACACACACACACACACACACACACACACACACACATATATATATATATATATATATATATATATATATATATATATACTACTANAACACACACACACACACACACACACACTACGTATATATATATATTATATTA